TATTCTGGGACATCCTACTGCGCAGCCTCAGACCGGCTGTTTCGCCCACTTCAGGAAAGCAGCACCCTCCTCCTCGGTGAAGTAGTTCTTCCAGTCGCCCACCTGGCCCTTGCGCATGAACGTGCCCTCCGAGCCCACGTTTACCATGCCGGTGTTCTCCCAGTGGCGGTAGTTGGTGCCGGGGTTCTCCTTCATGGCTTCGAAGCTGGTGTGACGCGCGATGCTCTCGGCCTCGGCGTCGGTCACGGGCCGATCCAGGAAGGAGGCCACTCGACGGACGACGGCCGCGCGGTCGGCGTGCAGCTGCTCGTACGTCACGCACAGCACGGTGTCGGCGTGACGCAGGTAGCCCTGCACGTGCTCACGGTAAGGCGCGTACATCACCTCACCACGCACGAAGCTGTCGCGGAACTGCTGGAAAGTACCGCGGTACTCTATGGCGTTGACCATGCGACAGTAGTGGTAGTAGGAGACGCAGACGTCGCGGGGGTCACGCGAGACGTACAGTACCTTGGCGTCGCTGGTGTGCACGCTGAGGGGCAGTAGGTCGAAAGGCAGGTGCGTCTTGATGAGGCGCGGATTCTCCATCTCGTGGATCGATGGCGTCTTCATCGCGTCCGAAGTGGCTGCCTCCAGAAAGGGGTAGCGGTCCTCGAGTGGGGCGCCGCCGCCGCTGTTGACGCCTGTCTCGCCGTGCACAACCCGCCAAACCAACTCCTGTAGCCAGGTGGTGCCCGACTTGGGAAAGCTGGCTACGATGATGTCCTTGGGACGCGCCTGGAAACGTTCCCAGCTTTCCAGGAAGCCACAGAGCAGGAGGAAGTTGCTGAGCACGGTGCCACGGTAGCGGTAGAAGCGCACCAGCGGGTACTTGTAGTTGGGGTCGGCCGGCAGCAGCTTCCAGTCGTCCGGCGGCTTAAGCTGGTCCAACTTGGCCGCCATCTCCCGCTGCTGGTGCTCCCGCCGCGCCGCCACCTGGCCCGCGTCCACCTCCGTATCCATGGCGACGCCTACCCGCGTGCGAGACGCCTACCGTCCCCAGACACTCTCAATCGCTTCAGCTGACAGCCCCACGACCGTTGCAGGCGAACGGCCGTCTCGGGGACCGTTCCACCGCCCATGAATGTCATGCAGACTATTGGCCAGAGCGCGCCCGCAAACTTGGCTCGCTGCCAATCCTTGGTACCGCCAGGAATGTCGTCCGGTAAACGCAACGTCGTGTACTTTGGACGGCGCGTGCTGTCTCGTTTCGGTCCAGTTACAAAGCGAGCATGTTTGCCGGCAGTAGTTGGGGTACCTGATAGCCATGCTGGAGTTTTGAGAAGCGAAAAATAGGTAGTGATTGGTTCCGTGGAACTGCGTTGTGCTGGTGCGATTGTCGGGCTGAAACCGACCTATCGGCTTTCAGAAGCCTTCGGAACGGGTGGAAGGCCACTTTGCGAGGTCGAGGCGTTGTTTCTCGTGCGATGCCACGCTCACCGACCATGCTGTTTTCTGGCGAATCATTAAAACCTCCGCTTCCCGACTAGCAAAGCGGGTGGGGGTGCCACTGAGGACCTATTTGTAAAAAGGCCGATAAATTTAGCCGGCACTTCGCTTCCGCCGGCCCACGTATCGCCTCCGTACTGGTCAGTCCCATCCTCTTCCACATCTTCACGAACGACCTCCAATATTATCTCCTTCGCGAGCGTCTAGTGTCTTATGATGACCACACCAAACTGCTAAACTGTGCTCATCCAGACCAACTATTCGTTTTGAAATCCCAGACAGGAAGACAGGAAGACAGGAAGAAATCATCCAAGTCATACAATCTCAATTCGTATCTAGCTCCCTGAAAGGGAATTCCACCAAGACAAGTTTTCTCCTTCTTAGCCCTCCACAACCCTTCGCCGTCCGTGAAGATGCTGGGGGTTGCTACCGAAAGTACTCTTTACTGGGAGATGCACATATCCGGTGTTGTCAAAAACTCGCAACACCATCCTTTTCTGCTTGCATACAATTTGTCACCTCACGCCCGGATTTCCCAAACTTTTCATACAGTGCCGTGTTTTCCCCCATCTTCTATGCTGCCTCTCGGTCTGGAGTGGGGCTGCAGCGTGTCGTCCACACTGAGTGCAAGGGGTGAAACACTTTGGGGTCAGGATCGTAACCGATGCTCGCCGACGAGATTTAATGGCGACGACTGTTCAAGCACTGGCCTGGCGCGACGTTTAGGACCTTATCACCCACCGCGATGGCCTCGCTGTACTCAGAGCCGTACATGACTGGCGGGCTCCAGTGGCGATCCGGCCCCTGTTCACCCTGCGGACCCCTGTATGCTAGCGTGCCCCCCGGACCGCAGCAGCGGACGCCCGTGATCTGCCAGCTCTTCGGCTGTCGGTGGCACGCAAGGCATTTTCGTATCACTCGGCTGCATTCTGGAGCCGCCGGCCGTCGACCATCACAGCCTCTCGCACCCGCAATGCGTTTCGCACCAGGCTAGAGGATTCAGACGGTCCCTTCGTGTAGTTTTAACTTACTTGCCGTTGTGTAACATGCATTGATGGTTTGTATTTTCATCAAATGCCTTTTGGACAAAGTTGTGCGAAGGGCTGGATGGTTAATGATGTGCAAACGTGGTGGAGCTGTAACCATGTTTTGATATCGCACTCATACTACTGTTGTATGCTACCGAATAAAGCAATAAACAACTTGTTGGAATGACTTGTGGATACAGTCAAGTGAACTTAGGACTGCTTGTGTGTTGTGCGTGTACATTAGGGTGTCCCAGAAAACGTTTCTTGTGTGGATGCTCAGGATGAGCCTGATTCTCCAGCCTAGGGCGAGTTCATCGTGTCAGTTTCGTCAAAATTTCTATATGCTTAAGGGACGCAAATAAAGTTGAAAATAGAATGCCTTTAAGCCACCTTGGCACTGGGGGGGGGGGGGGGGGCTAGCATCATGCTTTGAAAACTGACATTGATATCGCTTTGAACTCATGAAACGATGCCCTCAGCGCTATTGTGTTACCACGGGGCCTATTTCAGGCCTGAGATGGTTTTGTTCCGTCTAGTTTCGGGTGGTGTCAGCGATAATGAGAAGGCAGCCAGGGCTTCAACGTTGTTGTCTAGGCCCGTGACGAATGATTTTGGGGATGCTATGCCATTCGGTAACTGGGACACAGAATTGGCAGATCTGGTAGATGAATTGCCAGATCTGGTAAATGAATTGCCAGATCAGGTAGATAAATTTCATCGGCTGGTTTCCAGTTCCTTCAGATCGATGCCACCCGGTAGCTTAGCAACCCACTAGGTCAACGAGAGGACAATGATGGATATCCGTTTTACAAAGAAATTTTGGACGCCGTGCAAAATCTGTTCAGTCATGTGGTAAAAAGCGTGATCTAACGATTAAAATCTTTACAATCAATGCAGTCGGTGCTAACAGTTAGCTGCAGTGGGTCCTGCAAGGAGGTGGAAGCGTTGTTGAAAGGGTGATCCAATGACTACAGTGTTGTCTACGTCAGTGACAAATGATTTTGAGGATGCCGCGCCGTTCGGGACAAGCCATTGTCAGATCTGGTAGATGAATCCCCTTGGATAGAAGGATATATGTTTTATGACGATTTTGAGCGATGTGCAAAATATGTTTAATCATGTTGTGGAAAAGCGTGTGTCAATGTTTAAGATCTTTAAAATTAATGCAGCCGGTGACACTAATCAGTTGCCGAGGCACCTGCAGGAAGGTGGAAGCCCATCAGTAGAAGATCAGCAGTTTAAATAAGCGTGCACCGGACACATTTAGATGTTGAAGTAAGCGTGCACCGGACACATTTCGATGTTCAAACAAGCGTGCACTGGACACGCTTCAATGTGTAACAGCTGCAATGAGCTCAAAATAGTTCCCTGAAGGAGACACGATGTAAACTGAAGGTCTGTTTCGTGGCGGTTCTGAAGGTGGCGCATGCATCTTTTAGTTCACGTGGCTTCGTATTTTCTTTCCTCTCCTGGTCCAGGTCAAACAAAGGAGAACGAAGCGAAATCAGATGAGGTTAAAGAGAGATCAAATGCCGTGCTCGCATTTCAGTTATGCTTACATCACTGAGACCCATTCGTTGCGAGGACTCGTTTGGCACCCATCTAGAAACAGTCTAAAAGACATCCGTTTTAAACACTGCTGCCTCTCACCCAAAAATCGTATGCTCCATAGGTGAACCTCCGCAGCAGCTTGATGTTATCGGCGAAACGTAGAATCAGTACAGCAAGAAAGCGTCAAAGGCTTTTTCAAGTGTCAGAGTCGATGTTCATGTCGCTTACGCCTTTCTGGTCCACTTAGAGCGAAAATCACTTAAAGCCGCCGGTCTTCAAGCTCTTTGTGTACCGCCTAAACATGCACGGCTTTTGACAAAAATGACACTACTGAACTCGCCTTCAACTGAGGACCCAAGCTAGTCCTGAGAACCCATGTTTTGAGAATATCTTATTCTTTGTCACCGTACCTCAGGATCATGTGCAATACTGCAATGTGTTGGAGAAAGGCTCAATTTAGCAGTTAATGTTCATTTCTTGTAGATAAAACACACATGCCCGTCCATGCGTCCGCCCGTGTTAGTCCGGTTTGATAGCCCAGTTCGTAAGAGCGTTTGCCTTCCGATCCATTCACGCGTCGCGGGGAGGGTCCGAATCAATTTAGATAAGCAGTGGCAGCAGCAGCACTAAAGGTCATGTGACGTCATGATAATGTCATGTGACGTCATCATAAAGGTCACGTGACGTCAGAGTGCTACAAAGCGTTAAACTTCCGTCACCAAAGTCTGCCGTTGACCTGAAATTGCACGACCGGATGGCAGGGGTTAGGGCTTACACAAGCATTCTTCATCGAGAATTCTGATGCCAAAGATCCACTCATTCGAAATGTTCGGACTAAGTCTCTAAAAAATCTTTAAATGACGCAAAAGTGCGGCCAACACCGGCACCACGGATGACATCACTACGTTATAGAGGGCGGCAGCGCCGACTCACCGAACTGGACGCCCATGAGACCGAGGCCGACCCAGGTGAGCACGTTGGTACGCCGGTGGCAAGCTTCCTCCAGGTCCCGCTTCTTCTGCGGAAACGGGGAGGCGCCCCCGTCAGAGCACGAGACCGTGTCGGGAATATCAGTTAGTCTAGGGAACGTGATGGGCAGGAGATGACACGTGAAGAACATCATCGACAAGAGAAAGAGGAGTAGACAGCAGTAGCAATGCGTAGAATTCGGGGAACAGAGAAATAGGAAGAATAACTTGAACAAATGTGAGCGGCAGCAAACAGCGCTCAAAAAGCAGAGCACGCAAGTACGTTAGTCACAGCTCAGCTTGACCAGCCGCCGAGAACAGTCAGGCGTGCTCGAACCCACAGTACGTGCTCCGCGATTGCCCTTGCGAAGGATGAGCTTTGACTTGCAAGCACTTCTCAGACATAAATGAGCTAAATCTTCCTCCCTTAACAATCAGGAGCTTGGAATATAGCGGTAAGTTAGGCAAATGGCAGGTTAATGCAGGCACATGTGTAACATCACATCACATGACAGATTCATAACACATGCAGGTAACGTGAGATTGTGACATACAAGTGTAGCTTCAGTAACGCCCTGTCGAGTTTCAGTTTTCAGACAGTGTGTCTGTATGAGCTAGCACTTCAAAGGAAGTGACGTTTAAGCGTTAAGGTGGTGCGAAGACCAAGTCTGGGCCTAATCCTGCCTCCTTAGTGGATTTTAGTAAAACCTTAAGGTCCCCCACGTCACCCTACTGTTTGGGTCTAGTTGGGTCATAAAGTCTCTCCGTTACCTTCTCCATAGGCTCCAGCTGGACCTTGAGGTCTTCCAGCTGCGCTATGATCTCCCTCTCCTTCTTCAGCTGGTGCTCCTCCACGCTCAGCGCCTCGTAGAGCTGCGCCACCAGATTCCGCACATTGGACAGCGTCGTCAGCTCCTCCTGCAAGAAGAGAGGGAGAGAACGTTGTCAGTTTCTCCTGAGGGCGAGGTCACTTTTTCGTGAAAACGTGTCTAATTTTTCGTGAAAACGTGTCTAATTTTCATGAGAACGTCGTCAGTTTTTCATGAGAATATCGTCAGATTCTCATCAGAACGTTGCCAATGTCCTATGAGAACTGTTGTGAGTTCTCCATGCCAACGTAATCAGAATCTCATAGGAGCGATGCCCGACTCAGATGAGAACGTCGTCAGTTTCTTCCGAGAACATTATCAGATTTTCATCAGAACTTTGTACGTTTCTCATGAAAATGTCGCCGCTTTTTCATGAAGATACAGGTGACATAGCCGTCAGTTTTCACTCCGAACAGGGGCAGTGTCATAGTGAGTGTCCAGTGTCAGGAGCTCCTCGCGATAACACAGACATGTATCATTAGTTCCTCCTAAACAAGGAACGGCGTTCTAAGCTGCAAATAAGGGCGCAAGCGAGCACCATTAGTAGCTAACGAACACGACCGGGAGAGATTGCAAAGGCTTCGGTTGCTTCTTCTTGACAAGGCGGCCGAAGTCTCTTCTTCCATTACCACGTCGTAAACACTGCATGGGGTCGACAGGAGAGGGCTGACAAGCTTCAACGATTACACGAAGGACAACGCTGTGCAGGCACGAGATGTCAATCACGCAGATGATGCAAGGCATGACAACTCGATAGGTAGGTCAATCACGCAGCTCAGCCATTGCAAACAGGTCGAAATTGGTCTTCTCCAAACGACGTAAATGTGAGTTGGCACATTTCTTCCCTATCACTAAGCGAGGCGAGGTCAATATTGCACCAATGGGTAAAAAATAACAGAATGAAACACTGACGCATGAGCATTCTACACCACTGTCCACAAAATCGGTCTAGGTGACTCTGCCAGCAGAAATTCGCTACTGGGTTGTTTTGCTTTAACGATCGCAACTGCGTGGTCTGAGCTTCAACATGGAGTGGTGCCACACACTCGCGTCACAGCACCACGCTCACCTGGGAGGGTCGTTCCAGTTCCGGTGTCTTCACGTGATACACCTCGTCATTTATCACCAGCTCGAAGTCCTCCTCCATCAGAGCTTCGATGGTGTCACTGGTCGCGATTCGTGTGCCACCTGTCGGGAAAAGGCGAAAGCTGCTTTCACTTCGCGTTACGCACATAGAAGGCGGCACTGCAGGCAAGAAACCGCGGCTGCGAAGCCAGCCTGCGAACGGGAAAGAACCCGATTTGATACTTAACAAGATAAAAAAATTGGCAAAACAAAGTGGAAGACGCCTCAAACTTAATGAGACTCTTTGAAGGATAATGTGAGCTATGATTGGGAAGGAAAAATACGATGAAGTGGATGAAAGATAGCATACCGGGAGGTTGGGCAGGAGTTGGAGAGGGGGGAGAGGAGAGAAAAAGCGATAGAGGAAACGTCAGAAAGGAGGAAATAACACACAACATGCCACAGAAGAGAGACGGGGAAGATGGCACATGAATGGGAGCGGCACAAAGGAGGCCAGAAAAGGTGGCGCGTAATACAACGGAGGCGAGAGGCAAAATGGAAATAAGACGGCATGATGATAGACGAGATGGCCGCCACAAACGCCGCACACCTCAGGACAGCCTGTGGAAGAATTCTGAGCATAGCTTCCCATAGTAACTCCGTCCCTGCTGCCAACGCACCGACACAGCCGCAGAACAACACGGCAGCCACAAACACTGTGGAGCTAGCAGCCGGAGGCCGCTAGCAGTCGTTAATGGTCGTCAAGTTAACGTCGGGTCTTTCAACGGCTGCCTGTGTGTAACAATCGGCTCTGACAGTGCGGGCGACACAGTGTGGGAGGGTGTGGGGGGAGGGACCCGCGAATGACTGATCACGTGCAGGTGGCGGTTAATTTCTAGAAAGATTGCATAAACTGAGGGGATGTCGCGCACCGGCAACTCAGGGATGACGGGCAAATGCTTTGGACGGGAATGACGATTGCGAGGTGCCACGAAAACCCTGAGGCCGGTGGTTGCATACGCAAGAGATGTCCCTTACATAGAATTGGCCTTAACATCACGGGCTACCATACCCATCAAAGACTAAAAATCCGCGACAGGATCCAGGCAACATCCCTGGCACTATCCTCACGCGGTGCTCTGTACGCTAAGGCTGTAGTTTACTATTCTGTATGTGAGAGGGAGGCAGACCCCTACCTAGAGTTTTAGCTACCACTTCCTTCCCCACTTTCAAAAGAAAGTGGGCCAAATCCGAGGAGAAACCCGTTTGTTGACATTTTTCTATCGGTAAGTTCATTTCTCAGTTTTTTCTCAATTTCTCATTGCTCAACCCACCCTTGTTTAGCGAAAATACGTCCCTTTTCCATACCACGCAAACGCAATGCACTCCACACTAGTCACGCGGCGTCCTCAACACTACAGTCACGCGGCGTACCCAGCACTACACTCGCGTAGTTTTCCACGCACTACACCCACGCAGTGTCCTCAGCACTTTGTTGATTCCGTGTCGTTAACACTTACATACATACAGTAATAGTCTCCTCAACACTACATTCATGCAGCGTCCCAAGCATCATATTCATACAGTGTTCTCAACACTATAGTATTACGAGTCCTCAACTCCAAACTCACGCGGGGTCCTCAGCGCCATACTCACGCGGTATGATGCCGATATGGTGCAATAATGACCGCGTGTCCTCAACACTACACTCACGCAGGGTCCCCTGCCCCACACTTGCGCAATACCCTCAGCACCACAACCTGGACGTACCCTCAGCGCCATACTCACTCAACGTCCTCATAACTATAACAGCTCCGTGTCCTAAACACTATACCCACGCGGCGTCCTCAGCACCATACCCACGCAGTGTCCTCAGCGGGATCATACTCACGCAGTATCCTCAGTAACACAGCCTGGAAGTACCCTCAGCGCCATACTCACTCAACGTCCTCAGAACTATAACAGCTCCGTGTCCTAAACACTATACCCACGCGGCGTCCTCAGCACCATACTCACGCAGTGTCCTCAGCAACGCAACCTGGAAGTACCCTAAGCGCCATACTCACTCAACGTCCTCAGAACTATAACAGCTCCGTGTCCTAAACACTATACCCACGCGGCGTCCTCAGCACCATACTCACGCAGTGTCCTCAGCAACACAACCTGGAAGTACCCTAAGCGCCACACTCACTCAACGTCCTCAGAACTATAACAGCTCCGTGTCCTAAGCACTATACCCACGCGGCGTCCTCAGCACCATACTCACGCAGCGTCCTCAGCACGACCCGGTCGATGCCCTTGTCCTCGGCGTGGAGCTGACCGATGAAGTCCCCCACCGTGTTGCTGATGGGCTTGAGCGTGAAACGACACTTCTCGCGCCGCGAGGGCAGGGGAACGGTGATCTGAGGTAGGCCGCGCGAGTACGCCACCTCCACTCCTGAAACGGGGGTAACACGGTCAGGGATGCGCCATGTTGACACCCGAAACGAGAGTATTGCGGTTAGGTGCACACATTGACTCTTCGAACAGGGGTAACACGGTCAGGGATGCGCCATGTTGACACCCGAAACGAGAGTATTGCGGTTAGGTGCACACATTGACTCTTCGAACAGGGGTAACACGGTCAGGGATGCGCCATGTTGACACCCGAAACGAGAGTACTGCGGTTAGGTGCACACATTGACTCTTCGAACGGGGGGTAACACGGTCAGGGATGCGTCATGTTGACACCCGAAACGAGAGTATTGCGGTTAGGTACACATATTGACTCTTCGAACGGGGGTAACACGGTCAGGGATGCGCCATGCTGACACCTGGAACGAGGGTCTTGCGGTCCGGTAAATACATCGATCCCTGAAACAGGTATCACAGTCCGTGGTACCCCACATCGACACCCAGGACAGCGGTGCCGTAGTCAGGGGCAACCTACACCAACAACTCATCGACTTTAAGCAACTGAAGGACGCAGAACATGTGCTC